TTACGAAAACCTCAAATTTCAAATGCAGGAAATTATCAAAATAACCAAACTAAATACAGAAATGCTTTTAATTGTTTTATTATTTTAATTCCCACCACCATTCCCATAACCAACACCATCATTACCACCACCATTACCACCACCATTACCACCGCCACAATTCCCACCACTACCACCACCATTCCCACCACCACCATTCCCGTAACCACCATTCCCGTAACCACCATTCCCGTAACCACCATTCCCGTAACCACCATTCCCACCACCACCATTCCCACCACCACCATTCCCGTAACCACCATTCCCGTAACCACCATTCCCGTAACCACCATTCCCGTAACCACCATTCCCACCCACCCATAAAATTATGAAACATTATTATTGTACGTGGCTACATATAGCGTGGAAGCGTGGTACCCCGGCCTATAGGGCTGGACTCACCACGCTTTACATACAAAAAACACGCCCTTAATAAACCAGATCGCGTCATCTCCCCACCCCCCCTCAACATCTCCCCCTCCCCCAACATCCCCCCCCCCAAATTCTGAGAAAATACCGGCCCATTGGAGATGATCACGGAGATTTCTTCCGGTTAATCCATCCAACAGGAAAACCTTCCCGTTTAAGCGTGTTTCTGTCTATCATTCGATTGTTGTTGTATCAGGCGAGGTTGGAATTGGTTGTAAATGACCAGGAAGTTCCTGTTCTGGCTGTCGTTATCGGCCCTGCCAGTGTACAGCTGTAACAGGGCTGTTACATCACTCAAGTATCTTATTTATATCATAATAAAAAGAACAACTAAAAAACAAACAACGGAACGAGATAAGCAGTAGAATCTGAAGCAGTGGATTTGTCCATAAACGAATGTCGCATTAGGATAATAGCCGCATTGATAAGTCCGCCTATCAGCTAATCCTTCACTGACATAGAACCAAGCACTATCTAACCGATACCAGGTACTCTCTGACCGATACCAACTACTCTAAACCAGGGCTGCACAACACGCGGCACGCCAGCACCCACTTTGTGGCCCGCGAAGTAACGATAGATTCTTTATTCTTATTATTTTCTTAATAGCTTTCCCCCCTGTCTTTTTTGGCCCGCTCAAGTTTTTCATAAAGTTTTATGGCCCGCCTTACATTTTGAGTTGTGCAGGTCGGCTCTAAACGATACCAAGTACTCTTTTATCGATACCAGGTACTCATTAACGGATAACAAGTAATCTCTAACCGATATCAAATACCCTCGAACCGATACCAAGTACTCTCTAACCGATACCAAGTATTCTCTAACCGATATCAAGCACTCTCTAACCGATACCAAGTACTCTCTAACTGATACCAAGTACTCTCTAACCGATATTTCCCAATCATCTAGAGCAGTGGTTCCCAAACGTTTACACATGACTTCAGTACCGTCCTCAAGCTTCAAGTACAAATGACTTTAGTACCGTCCTCAAGCTTCAAGTACAAATGACTTTAGTACCGTCCTCAAGCTTCAAGTACAAATGACTTCAGTACCGTCCTCAAGCTTCAAGTACAAAATGACTTTAGTACCGTCCTCAAGCTTCAAGTACAAATGACTTCAGTACCGTCCTCAAGCTTCAAGTAAAAATGACTTTAGTACCGTCCTTAAGCTTCAAGTACAAATGACTTCAGTACCGTCCTCAAGCTTCAAGTACAAATGACTTTAGTACCGTCCTCAAGCTTCAAGTACAAATGACTTCAGTACCGTCCTCAAGCTTCAAGTACAAATGACTTCAGTACCGTCCTCAAGCTTCAAGTACAAATGACTTTAGTACCGTCCTCAAGCTTCAAGTACAAATGACTTTAGTACCGTCCTCAAGCTTCAAGTACAAATGACTTCAGTACCGTCCTCAAGCTTCAAGTACAAATGACTTTAGTACCGTCCTCAAGCTTCAAGTACAAATGACTTTAGTACCGTCCTGAAGCTTCAAGTACAAACGACTTTAGTACCGTCCTGAAGTTGAGATTGGGGCCTGTTACGGGAAGTCGCGTTATCAATAAGTTTTAACCGCAACTTCTACGATTCCATGAATTTTCGTTTTCACAACGCCAGCTGATTGCTCCTGCGTGGTCCCACTTGAACAGTTTCACCTAATCACATGTAAGACAAAGTTCTACGGAACGTCTGGTGTATTTTTAATTTTTTTTTTTTTTTTAAATAATCGAAACTTCAGATTTTGAATCTGTTCTAAATTGAAACATTTCTAACTGAAAGTTGAGATATAGCTTCACAATCACGGCTCTAATAACGATAGTCCTCAAACTTTTTAAACAGGGGACGGTTCACTATTCCCTCGAACACGCTCCCCTCAGGGGGGGGTGGGGAGCACATTATAGTTCACTAATTAAACAACCACTAACAACAAAGTTGTTCTTCGAATCAATTCTTCATCAAATATCATATTGAGCAATGGTGGTTGGGGGTTGCATCAATTCTTCCATCAAATATCATAATGAGCAATGGTGGTTGGGGGTCGCATCAATTCTTCCATCAAATATCATATTGAGCAATGGTGGTTGGGGGTCGCATCAATTCTTCCATCAAATATCATATTGAG